ATAGAGCAAAACTATGCCAAAACTCACCAGTCAAGTGGAAAAGTGTGGATTCCTGAAAATTCCTATCAACCGAACGAAATGTCAGCGACATCTTGAGGGGGAAGAGCGATGTCACAGAGACAAGCACACATCTTAAATGCGCATAAAATAAAAGCAACCGCAAAGCGACACTCGAGACAGTTAACTAGCTCTGTAGGGTACAAGAGGAGCTACCAGGGGACTCAACTTTATAATCGTTGACGCTGTCGCATTGTTGTTGGATAGTTTAGTTTTTATTACTTGATTTCTGCAACATTTCCTTGCGACATTCGTAATCAACTAGTTATAGCAGGACGAGATATAAAAGGGTAAATCTAGCTGATACAAATAAACAAAAAGTTCCGATCAAGGAGAAGGTTGCCACCTCTTCTCCTTGAAATTGTAAAACAAATAAATAATAAAGTTTTCTGAACGCAAACTTCAAAACAAGCAAAATCAACGGATGTATACACATATATTTAACTAGTAGATAGACTGTGAGGATTTGGCTCGGTCCCGAATGAATTTTCCTACATCATAATGTCAAATGAATGCCCAAGGATGACCGCATTAAGATACGACAGTGAGAACCTAAAATTTCCCCAGCATTAAGCATTCAAACAAACATGCAGTAGATATAATTGGGAAAAAGCTTTGAAGATTCCTGTTTACGATTAACAAATATACATATATAAGACGACGTAATAGTTAAATAGGATTATTCTTCTTTCAGATTTGAAAGCGTCTAAGTGGTTCACCATATTCGCCTTAGCGCGCCTGTTAAGAAAGAATAAAAGGTATCATGATAAAACTTTTATTACCCTTCTTAAAACTGTACTTTTGTTTAGAGAGTCTCAAACTCAGCCCAATACCTCGCATTAAAAAAAATTGACAAATTGCCACGAGCTCCAAATAGACTTTGCTTTTCCCAAGTCTACATAAAGTTGGTTCACTGCTCAGCTAGAAATCGGGAGATTCTAAAGCAGATTTATTCCCAAATTATGTTCAACGGGTTTGACCTCGTACAACCACTGCTTTATATTTTTATTCACTTTAACTTACCAAATGTGTGTTCAATACTTATAACCACTTTTCTCCAAAGTAAAATTGTGAATTTCTCGCATCCAATGCGAAACAATTCAATGAAATTTAGTCAAACTGTTATCCGGCAAATGAACTCACCCATATCACCATTCATGGTACACACGTACATACAATCACACTTATTCACTCGTTCTCATATATTTATTCTTCCCGGATGCAGAAAAAATGAGAGAAAGTAAAAGCAACCGGCGAATACAATGAGGCATGCACAATGCCTAAGAGCTCTCAGCGCCTAATCAGTCGCGGTATAAGCAAGAAAGTCACGGGCACCACACATAGTCGCATACACAACAAAAGGCAATTGTCGATAAAAGGGTTTGTGGTTTACGACATCGGTATGCTTGACATGCGGTCTGACGAGGCGAATAGGCAGGCTTGACTATAGCTTAAAGAAGGCTGCTTACTACTCACCACCACTGCCGGTGACCTGAAGCTCAAATTGAAGATTTTGCGGCTCCCGTACATTTTTTGGCAGTATTTGTTTGGTTAAATATAGCTTGTACAGATGCTGAGCCATGCACAAAAATGTAGATGGAGCTTCGGTCGTGTGAACCAAAATAAACGCCACAAACAATCGACGGCAGAAGAGGATCGACCAAGATAAAGAATGTGTTATGCAGAACTGATAAGGAATCTATCTCCGTCTAGGCGTACTTGTGCCGAGGAAGGAAAATAGAATATAATGATTATGGTAGTGGGTTGTTTGGTATGCAAGTTGCTGTCTTTTGTAGTCTATTGGATCATAAAAGTAGACAGTCAAATACACATACATACATATGTATGTAAGCATTTCGAAGTCAAAGCTTTATCGACAAGTCCAATGTGCCAGAAATGGTGTAGCACAGCCTAAATGGCGCATATGCTCCGTAAGGTGGAGTAAGTAGTCTTAAGACTTCTCATTGAGCTATATGCGTGTGTAAAAATTCTCCTAAGAGCAGTTAGCAAACGGCATTCGGCAGAAATTCCAAATACAGGCACGTAAATGTTGTAGCCTGTAGCCTGTATCTCTGTCTATTTACATACAAACACATCTGTAAGTTAAATACAGCATTGAGTTCAATAAACATTTGCACGCTCAGCAAAAGCGAAACTGCCAGCTCAATGCATTTGTATGTGACCACACATAACCGTGTACAGACAAACATATTACTGATTTTGTATGTGAGTGGAACCAAAATAGTTACCCGTCTCAAGTAAGAGAAATTCTAATTGAATTTCCGTTGCCTTAGCGGGAATTTTCGGCTTAAAGACACCCAACAATCGTTCCCCATCTTTATTTTATTTATTTTTGTATATGTTATGAAGTACAGGTACAATAAGGTGGGTGAAAAATATTGATTTTCTTTTTGCTCCGTACTCTGATAAAATTGGTTCATAGACACCTCTAAGAAAGGCTCTCGAAGTATGAGCTCTTAATTGTAACGGGACGGTTCTCCGCCTAACGGTTTTTCTATTTTTTACTTATTATCAGATAGAAAACTTCAAATCTCGCTTTCACCTACTTGAAAAAATATCTCGATTTATAGATTTTAAAATATATGGCTCTAGAATGTTGTACAAAAAGGCTTCTTATCTTTTATTCGTAAACCTAACTGTTTAACGGTCATAGTTTGATTATTTTAAGACTTTTATTTTCTAATTAATTTTATAACTCATTGAAAAAAATCATTTTATATCCGAAAACTTATAATTTACCTTAAAATTTACCGTTTACCTTTTTGTAGAGCATTACATTTCCTACAAAATCTATGGAACGAGATATTTTTCTGTAATTGGAAGCGAGAATTGAATTTTGAATAGTGATTCGATCTAAACAATTTCTGTGATACTATCATTGCCTTATACAATAAACTATGCCTAATTTCGTGAATATATCTTGTGAAATGAAAAACTCTTCCATGCAAACACTTGGATCCCATCGTTCAGTTTGTATGGCAGCTATTTGCTATAGTGGGATATATTCTTGGGGAGCAAAGGACATGTGCAAAATTTCATTATTCAAAAACTAAGGGACTAGTTCGCGTATGTACAGACCGAGGGACATACTTACGGTCGGACAGACAGACGGATCTGATCATTTATAAATATATTTTATAGGTCCGACGTATCCCTCTGGGTTTTACAAACTTTCTTATAATGAAACTGAATGACAACTACTGATTTGAAACAAATAATTCTAACAGACAAAACAGCCAAACACACACAAAGGCACAAAAACCAGACCCAGTAATTAAACTAATTCACAACACCCTTGTTATCTTGCTTTTCTTGGAGCTTCTAAATGTTGAATCACGTCACGATTCGCGTATACTTATGTATATCAAGAAATTTTAACAGTTTCCTAATTTTTGAGATTAAACTTATTTCACAGTCCATAAAAAGTAAATATTGGTTACGACAGAGAGGTGAATTTTACGTAGAATTAATCGGAAATTAATAAATTAATCAAAATGACGAATAGAATTGATTTCCAAATGTTCGTCAGTCCGCCATTTTTGATTATAAATTAACAGAAACTAATTATTTTTCCTACACTTTACTATATTTTAATTATAATTGGCCAAAATCAACTAGTTACTCTCGTGATTAAAAAAAGGTCAAAAAAGCGAAAAAATTGTTACCTTCATTTAATTTCTCCCGTATAATACAGAACTATTGAAATGCTTAAGGGGCACACCTAGTATGACAGCCTAAAAACACGTCGCCCTTTGGGAATTAAAAAACAACCCACTGTACTGTTTTGACATTTTCGGGGTAAATTAATACATGTTTCAAGAATATACAGTGAAATTTTAAAAAAAAATTTGGAAAACGGTTGGCCTCAAGGGCCATCCCTGCAACTTCCCTCTAATTTCATACGCTAATCAACTGATTTCGACCCGGTTTGCGGCAAACGATGTGTTTCTTCAAGGTTTAGAACTGATTAGTTTTTGGTGTCGATCGGTCAAGTCGTTTGGAAAAAATTTTATTTTATTTTTGAGATTTCTCGAAATCTACTGGTCCGATTGGGTCCAAACTTACACGAAATTCAAGTGCAATGAAACCCTTTGGAATGCCGTTTAGTTTATTCAAATCGGTTGAGCAGTTTAATAGTTATAAGAGGGTCACATACATCCACACACACAAACATACATCCACACATCCATACAGACATACGGACATCATCGTAGAAATGTTCGGGGAAGCTTCCTCGACCCTCAGATCTGTTGAGAACTCGATTTTTGAAAATGGGGTGAAACCAATATCTTCCCGATTTTTAGAAAATTTTCCATTTTCTTAGCGGGAAGTTAAAAAATTATATTTTTCGAGTTATACGAGATCGGCGCTAAAAAAAAGTACTCCACTGCTGCAGTAATTATGGCCTCCTCCCTGGGAAAAATCCAAAAATAAAATATTCTCGTTAAACTAAAATATATTCTCCGTAAAATGATCTATGATTGAAAATAGATAAAAAATTTACAAAATGGCGGCGTTTTTAAAAAAAGTTGAATTTTACCCCATATTTTTGTAAATCGATAGTAACATATCAAGTATATCGAAACAAATATTGTTTCTTAGTTACACGTGGATGTAAATTATATTTTTACACACAAGTCACTTAAGCGAGAAGTAAATTATATGAAGCCTCAATCGAAAAAAGTTATATATACCCTATGTTCACAAACTAAGTATTAATTCAGTAGTATTCTGTTTTGATATTTCAAACGATCCGAATAAAATTACAGTTTCGGGGGCTAGAACTTGTTTATTGTTAACACACCGTTGGAAAAGATATTCCTGAAAATTGTTCTCGAAAAAGAAAATTTTGGCGTTGATCTCATTTTTTCAAACTTTCTAATACACATACGTTACATTTTTGTTGTGTTACTTCAACTTACCTTTTCAATCGGCGCAATCGGCATCGTGGTCTTCCGCTCAACTTATACCGCCAGCGAAGCCATGCCAAACAACCGTAATTTTCTAGACAAGACGCGGCCAACGACACACCTTTCATCTGCCGCAGTTGCTCACTAAGGCAGATTTGCTCCGATAAAAATCAAAAATGCCACACGTTTTGGTGAAATTGAAAATTCCTTAAGAAGTTTTGCAAAAAAGAATCATTGACTGAACCTGCAATCTTAACCCCAATTAAGAGGGTTAAGTCTACAACATAAAACCGCACAGCAGCTGTGAGGCAGCCAGAAAAGGCAAATCGTTGAAGAATCATTTTTAGGTTGCCATTGCATGCATGCCTACATGCAGCCTCCTGGCTGTGTGTGTATGGGTCCGGGGGTTCTCTTGGAGCAGACTAGACAATAGAAAAGGCCTAATAAATTCAAATTATCACAAATATAAACGCTTTCGGTGGAAAGAAGTTTGCCAAACTGGAAGCTCTGACAGACAGACACGCATAACGACACTGTTAAAATAACTGACAGAAGTTGTAAATGTACAAGCAGAGAATTTTAGGATTAAGGTTTTCGATGAAAGCTCTTTGTCAGTGGCTTTGAATTGCGCAAGAATGCTCAGGGTTGGAAATGACATTGAATTCTTGCCACTCAAGATAAAGAAAATAAAAACATAATAGTAATAGTAATAAACAAAATAGATGATTAGTGTGATATTTGCACCTCACAAACAATATATCAGGTCCACTTACAAATATATAAAATTTGAATGGTTACAAATACGTGGGAGTAAAGAAGGGTAGTATAATTTTAGTCAAACTTAGGGGTCACCCAACTAAAGCACTTTTGTTCAGACCCATTTTCACAATTATAATTCGCCAACGTTAAGTTACGTAATATTATATGTAAGTATGTATGTATAGCATCAGTTGTCTGTGAGGATACAGCTTCACTGGCGCTATAAGCTGAGATGCGTAACAGTTTTGATGACGGCATATCAGCAGTTGTCTCTTCTCGGTGACTCTAGTCGCAGATTTACTACACAGTAGCAAGAGTCACTGCCGCGGTTTTCACCCTGACAATGGCAACTGCTGATATTTGTGGCAAGCGGCGGCGTACTAGACATAACACATATGTGGCACAGCTATCTGTAGCAACCAAAAAAATAACAGCAACAGCGGCTTGCAATTGAGGCATTCAAAACTGTTAGAATAGAAACTATAAATTTGTTTAGCAACAACACTACTATTTCATCTGATTTTTCTGAATTTTTCCAAATTAGCCCATTTCAGGTAACTCTCTTCTTACGCTTTGATTTGCACAGCAATTCTATTCACTATTTATTAATTATTCAATCGCCCCCTTTCCAAACTGATCACAAAAAAAAGCCGCCACTCGAAACTCACTTTGTTAACACTTAATTTTGGACGCTTAACGGTTTTTTTTTAGAAGACAGCTTTTTTCAGTGCACTTTTATTATCAACTTTTGTGTTTAATTTATGTCATATTTAATTATTTCGGGTAAAAAACGAAATTTAGCTGAAAAGAAAACGCCTTACAAAGTGAGACTGTAAATGTGAGCGCGCTCTGCTAGAAGTAAAAAAAAACATTGAACGCGCATACTTGCAGTGCACGTGTCGCCCTGGCTGCGGCTTGCCCTGACTGTTGGTTACTCAGTCCCGGGTTTCATGGCAGAAATGGACGGACGTGGCGGGAGCGGCAGCGCACAAACGGTGCCCATAAAATATAATTGCAATAGAACTGCTTAGATGAGTCGACAACAACTGTAACACCCATGTACAACAACTAAACCGAAATAAATCGAAAAAGCTGTAGAAATGGAAAACATCACGTTTGAATGCTCGCGGTACCGCGGGCGTATACGCAACACGCCGAGAACGAGCTACTTTGGAGGTTTTGCGGCATTTGAGTATTACTTTTTTATCTACACTCTGGCGAACTTATTATTACTAAACTCGTAAATTATTTTTTAAATAGTTAAGCATTTTTGTTCTTACATTAGTTATAATATGTAGCTACTTGCACTCGACAATTTGTTTACCTTACATTGACACTGTAATTATAATGGAAGTACATGTATTAGTTAGATTTAATTAAATTTATTTCGCCACTTGTGATTTGTTTTTAATATTCCGTCAAAGTGCCTTTTTATGACACTTTTCATACTTTAAACAGTTGAAGTGTTTTTGTGTTTTTTTGTTTCGGTTTTATTTAATTTCAACTGTCATTTGGGCTGCTGTTCAACGTCGCACGAAAGCAATCGCCACATTTGTATTTCAGGCAGTTAGTTTGTCGGCTGTTGCGATAATTTTCAAATTGTTTGCCAGACTGACATTCAATTGAGTCTTCTATGTACTTCCTCAAATTACCCGCGCTCGGCACAAGGCTCATGGGGGGCTCGGACGACAATAAGCGCTATGAATAACGTCACTCACTTTCCGCTAACGTGCTGTATTATCCGCTTAACTTTACAGCTTTTCTTTCTTATCATCCATCGCTTGTGTTTTGCTTTCACATTTATTTCCTTGTTTATCTTATTAAACTCTATATTATCTATTGTATGTGTGTTATACACAAATCGCGCGCAATCCGCAAACGACGTGGCAGCACACCAAACAGTTCACTTACGAATGAGCTGTCGCATGCCTGAGCAATTTAGCAGCGGCTGTCGCTAGACCCAAGCAGGCAGCGCAGTCGTTGTGCTCTGCTTCATGTTTATTAGGCGCCGCGTCGAGCCGAACATCGACGACTAGCAGCAGCATACGAGACGTCACGCCTCGCATAAGCAGTACGACAGTAATGCACATTTTTCCGCGCAATGGCGTTGCCACCCACTGAGTGGGGTACTATCGTTTGAGTCACTCATAATCGCAAATATGTACATACCTTGAGTGATTGAGGGAACTAATTATGTACAGATACATATGTACTCGTATATATACATTAATGAACCTTGTAGTCGTTATAGGTATGTCATGTCTTGAAAATATTAAGAAAAGACATATTGCCACGTAGAATGGAGGACAACTGATGAAGAAACTATTCGAGTGGAACTTTTCAATGATCAGCTTTCATTTCTGCTTTAAAAAAATTAAATTCAAACGTATAATGTTACTGCATTCTGTTAAATAAAACAAACTTATTTTATTTCCTTAATATAGATCTACTTAAATGTTAAGCATTTTCAGAACATTGATTAAGAATCTTAATTCAAATATAATATATAATATAGATTCATAAATGAGCTAGGTCTCATTGTAAACTTGTCAAAATTGATGTTTGGTTAATTTTCTTTTTGCGTAACGATAATGACGTGTATATGCATATGTAAGTATACTTTGCGCATTAAACTAAAATATTATATATGTCGGTTTTGAAATAAAATACCGTTCTGAGTTAATTTGAAGAACATATTTGAGAGTTTTGGTATTGACTTTCTCTTAAATTCCCCTCATTTCATCTCTTTGACTCAGTCCTACCTCAACAAATTCACTGGTCGTGCGGTCGTTCTCATGCGCTCATATTCCACTAGATAACAGCAAAGGTCATTTGGCAAGCTCAAAAGGCCCGCAACGAAAGAGTGAACCAACCAGAACGCACGAACCCATACACAACACCTTAGCACACTTCAAACAGAAAATAGCCCTCGTTGGCAGATGCGCTAGCGTCCTCATCGTCGCTCTTATTTTCTATACATTGAACGGTGAAAGCATTGCGGCCGACTTCGTATCGAGCAGCGCAGCATCGCTAGGTCACTAATACACTTAGATGAATCGTTGCACGACGTGCCGAAGTGCATGACCGAGGTACAAATATTAACGTCGACTCGGGTGTGAAATCGAAATTGGGAATATGTGTTAATCGGTTAGATAATAACAGCGCACTGTTATAGCAGCTCGCCATGTCCCACTAGCCGACTATCGGTGTAGAGTAGGTTAGCAGTAGGCAAATCAGCAAGACAGTGGAAAGCCACCCACCGCAACCCACCACTAGCTATATGAATTACGCATATACTCTCGAGTCTCTTACTCTCACTGGTTCGTATGCGCATACTCTTCTCGACTCTCTTTACTTATCAGCTATGTTTTTGTTATTCTTGTCAGTACGCAAATGTTCTTCACAGAGTGCACTAACTTAGTGACTTAATAATTGACCAGACCTGTATATATTGACATAAATCTATACCTGATCCCTTTGAATTTTTTTATTTTACATCTTTCAATTTTGCTTTTTACCAATCCAACTTCTCAATATGAAACTTCAACTTATGCCTTCAGGACTTGAGAGCGTGCCCTGCGACTAAAAACTACAACAAAATTGTAATTGTCTTTCTTAAATACCTCCTCTTCGACTAAGTGATGTCTGGAACCTTATTTCGAAAAGCTTACAAATGTTAGCGTTAAAACCATACTATCAACGGTAGGTTACGAAAAAAGAAAAGAGGGACAGATGTTTACTGCCGAAGCATTTTTAGTTAACTAATATAAAATAAAATAAAACTTTGGAGACTCGATCACATTCTCTATAATATTTAGTAGTAGTAGTTAACACGACTTGCAACAAAATAGCAAAGCTTCTTCATCCGATAATTGTTTTGCTTCCGCTTCGCCCGGCTGCTGGAATCACGGTATATGCTCAAAAACTTGACATTACCTGACTAAAGCAATTTGCGAGTCATACGACAAAACGATCAAGTTCAGTTATACCATACATCCGTAGATAAAAATTATCATACTTTTTTTAAATTCTTATTTTACTACACATATATGCAAACATATACTGTACATATACACTAAAGATTGAGATATTTCTGCTGCGCTACGACTGCGTCGCTCTTATTCAGAATCTGTTAATCTGCGAGTGTAAATAACAGTAAAAAGTCGCACGACTCATGAGCCTTTGAATAAACTGTTTGCTGAGTGTAATTCAAGGCCACCGCCAGCATTTGAGCGTAGGTGTCAAGGCGAAAGCAGTCGCTTTTATAACCGTTAAGGGATAGTTGCCTCTGCTTATTGTTTTTTAATCGGTTGGGTGTTCTGCCTATCGTCTCTGTTGCCCTGTCTATTTCTCTCGAAACGTATTATTGTTGTTTATCCCCCCCTAGCAACCAGGGAAAATTAAATTATTTCCCCCATTTATACCTGTTTTATGTCTTTCGCTTCTCCTAAGAAAGGCATAGACTTCTTGACAATTTGTGTTGCTGGCGTTGGGAATATTATCGCCTTCTTCCACCAGAATCGTCATAATTATCATCATCGGCGGCGCTAACACTACAGCCCTTGACTTCGTCATCGTTGCCGTTGTTATCAGCAATACAAAAACAAATATTATGGCGCGTTTTAAGTTTTATGATGTTGTAAGCGAGTAGGCATGCCGTTATCGCAAGTTTATATTGCTTTTATCTGCTTTTTAACTTTCTCTTTGATTCTGCTCACGTTCATGAATTTTGTAGTAATTTCTTTTGTTTTTATAGGCATTTTTATTAAAAAATACTATAGTTGTTTTTGTCAGCCATGAATGTTAGCATAATTCTTTATTCCGAGTTAATTTTGCCAGCAAAGTGTTTATTCACAGAAAGGAATCCCATATTTAAAATAATAAAATATGGCATTCGAAGTTTTCTTAATTAGCGATACTACAATAGCGCGCTAGTGGTATCTTCGCTTATGGTAACATGAAAAAGCTGAGAAGAAGATTAACATATTGTTTTTCTTCGTTCCGTACTTTATATTCTCAAGAACACCAAACAGTTGAACAGAGATTACATATCTTCCTTATTAGAAAACCGAAAAGGGCACCAAATATTTTCAAATCACAGCTTAAAAAATATAATGTGGTCTCATCCGTGGCATTATGGTATATTCCTGTGGTATTTTCTATGTATTGCACTCATTGCACTGTAATGAGAAATTCCATTCAGGTCTACTTTGGAAATTCAAAGAATTCTCCACGCTATTGGTATTATATTCTAAAAACTGGTTAACGTGCCATTATGCGTAAATTTAAATTTTATCCATTCGCCAAGTTTTTTGCCAATACATTTTGTTTTATTTCTTTTTGTCTTTCTTGGGAAATTCACCCTCAAGCGTTTTTGTTCGAATGTGTCTGAAACTTTCTTTTCATTAAGCTGTTTGTCATATTTGCACGCTTCACACTTGGACAAACTCTCTTCATGTTGTTAGTGTCAAAATATAACTCAAAATGGACGCATAAAAGAGAAAATGCTAGAATACATACACATATACATATATATGTATGTAGCACACACATGTCTGATGAGTCGGTAATGAGACATCATGAAAGGGAGCAAAATACGCCGAAAGTTACGAAAGAAAAAAGTTTAGATAACGGCATACCCATGTATGTAAAAATGTAATAAAGTCTAACTGAGCAGCTGAAAAGTGATTGGCAAATAAAAGGACCCGCTGGCCAAAGCAAAGACTTCTCGGCATGTTACACCATAAATGCTGTCGGGATGCTGTCATGGGCCTCGCCCCTCCCAAACCACTTATAATATGTAAATAGAAGGATGTTTAAAATATTAAAGTTTGATTGCAGAGAGGTTTTAGCTTATTACTGTTAATATTATATGATGATCAAATGAAGATTTACTTTGTTTTCTTGGCAACTGTGAAACTCTGTGAAAATGTTGGATAAGCGAAACCTAGCCTTAGGCCCTAACATTTTTACTCAATGTAATCTTATTACTAATACTACCACGAAAGGAGAGCAAAATAAGCAAAATAACACAGAATCACTGCGCAATTATCGAGGCACCACTGTAAGTTGCGCACATATTTGAATCTAAACAAAAGTAATTGTAACTTCTTTGGACTGAACTGGCGCAGAAATCATAGTTTAAATCTGACTAAAGAATTCGGTGTTGCTTACTGGATTTAATGAGATGCATGCAGCGATTTTTATAACGGTAAAAGCAAGATATAAATTCGACTATCGACCTTCATTTCTTTTTTACTGCTGCTTTTGAAGGCAAACATTCTTTCACATTTACCGCGACCTATTTATTCACAGTTTCATTGGGTACGCAAATCCGCAAGATTATCAAATGGGACTTTTAGTAAAGCCAAAGCTTCCGTCCATTTTTTAACACTGTCGTCTTATTGTTTTCGTTCATGCTTTGGCGTAACTGCCGCTGCTTAAACATTAACATTTGCTTGCCTCTAATTTAGATAATAATGATGAAATCTTCCCCCGAAAGGCTTAGATGTTCACGGAATAAGCCTTTTAAATTACATAATATTATTATAGGCGGATTTTAAACCGGGTTTCGAATTTTTTTAATCAAAAATTTTGGATTTAAAATTAATTTTTATTTTTTAATCCAAGATGTTTAGGATTAAAAATTTAAAATATTATTTTTTGATTTGATTGAACTCGAAAAATGTTAATTCAAAAAAAAAAAATATTTTTTAATTCTTAATTCTATGCTTGAGATTAAAATGTTCCTTTTTTATTTTTCAATCCGGTAGTTGGGATTAAAAATTAAAAATAAATTGTTAATCCGGTTTTTAGATGTAAATATTTTTTTTTAATTCCATATTTGGGATTACGAAATAAAAAAAAATTTAATTCTAATGTTAGTTCAATAATTTTTTAATGCATATTTGCAACCCTAATTTTAAATAAGGTGCAATAGGTTTATCAAAACAATCCTATTCGGGGAACGGTTCCGTAAGTCTAATATCCTTTCAACATATGAAAATCGAATACCATTGCTGCACTTTAGCGGGATACAATTGCAAGACTTTAACCAGTGGGTAAACTGAAAGATGATAGATGGAAGTACAAGTACACTTGTAGGAGTAGGAGTCTTGGTCTAACAGTTATAATGATGATTTGAAATATTAGAGGCATTCTGGCATGCAATTTTCTATAATCGAGATTACGCTTAAAGATCATCTCTCTTAGGGTACTAAATGCAAATAAATGCCAGTAATACTTTCCACACCTTACGGCGAGTAATAGTCTGGGTGTTCGGTGATTTTCCACCTACAGTTCCTAGCAAAGCTAAAGAACCATACACTATTACGGATTTTAATACACTCACAAAATTTAGCGTTAGAAATAAATATAAAACAATTCTTATCTGGGAAGTCTAGTATTGGCTTTTGTACTTCCCTTGGAGCGTTTCGTGACCTTCCGCGCATTCCTTCCCCCAGCCACATGGTTCTTCGTTACAACCACAGGTTCAGCACATGAGGATCGAAAGTTTACAGCTACACCTGAAACTTGCGTTTTGTCTCTAAGAAAATCCGACAGCTTAAGGTATTCGGACGTAATTTTTCCTTTGACGGAGACTGGACTTGATATCGGACTTCTTAATGTTTTCTCATACTTTATAGGCATGTGCCTAATGGATGGAGTGCGTCTTAAGGAGTTGTTATCGATACCTATTATATGCGGCACATATTCGGTAGCTTTAATGATTGCATGTTTTAATTGTTCTGAACTGATAACTTTCGCCGTTTCCAAGGCCGCGTCCGCATAATCCACGATCTGAGGCCTTTGTATTATTCCCTTCGAAGTGCCAGCATCCAACCGCAAGGAAGGTATGAAAACTCCCGTTTGTTGTTGAGCAAAATTTAAAATTTCCCTGGCGGCTTCGACAGTCAGCCTGGCTTTTCCTGCTTTGGCCGCGTTCGCAACTTCTTTTTGTCGCTTCCGCTGAGCTACTTGATTTTCTTCAAAGGCTTTATGCCTCTGAATGTCCCTCGCCCTACATTTCATCATTTTTCTTTGCTAAACATCGGAGGCATTATTCTAGCACACTTTCTCAATTCATATTACAGGCTTACCAATTCCTGCTTTTGCTGCTCTCTTAATTTGATACATTCTTTCAGGTGTTTAAATTGCTGTTGTTGTTGCTCTGCACGTATTTCTCCAGCTGATATTTTGAACAGTCCGTCTATGTTCTTGCCCTGAGACTGCACAATTTTCCCTTTGAGCAAAGCTTTCTTAATGACCCTCCTGATAACAGGTAGTGTAAACTTTCCATCCACATATGGATAGTGGTTAATTATAAATTTTTTGATCGCGACCACAGATGAACCGTTGCGCTCACAGAGACCTTTCAGTGCTCGAAGGACCAAGGCCTCCGCGCTAAACTTTCGATATTGCATACAAGCATTCGAACTCCAGGACGTTATGCCCGAACTATTATCTTGAACACATTCGTGTGCGGACCTGTTGGCGGGACGCCTTTTCAAATACTCCAGATCACTCTTGAGCATTTCTTTGGGCTTGTCTATATTTTTATGATGCTTTTTCATTTTCCTCAATTTTTTTGTTTGTAGACTTTAATTTACAAATTTCACAAAAATTTATTTATTTACAATTTCAATGCAATGTTTTTTACATTTTTTTATGTTTAATATTTTGAGCAAATCTACTAGATGAAACCTGTGTTTTTTCAGCAAATAGTCATTTTTATCTCACTTGTGCGTACTTGTGTTCGAATGGATGAGCAGATCCAGTCGACTTAAAGGAGAAGTTAAGTACTATATTCGTTCCTTGTGATAAGCTTAGCTAAGAGTTTATCTCTCTGCTAAATAATTTAGTAGACACATTTGTATTCTTCCATTAAGACGTTTTCAGACCAGTACAACAAATGAAGATACATTTTATGATTCATGAGTACACAATAGGTGTCCTCATCAATGTATTCTCTCTTTGCGTATCTTTTTATCACTCTTTCCCCCTCTATTTAATCGGAAGCATGACCTTTGAGAAGACTGATGGCTTGAAAGAGGACTCTTCTGCTGCAGAAAACTACACTTTTTTAAGATTCATGCATATTATTATTATATTTATTAATTAATATCCAATAAAACTCTCATCAAAATGGAGTGTTTATTGTAAAACTTCAATAGTGTAACCATTCACATAAGATATGATATCAAAACTACATAATAGATACTTAATTATCTCCAGAAGAAACCGTGAAAATTATAAGCATACCCTTCGCTTTGTACAGTTGTTATTTTGCCTTGACTTTCTTTGCTGTGGTCTTCTTGTTGGGCTTCACGGCATCTGCGTCTCCCGAGCCCGTTTCGATATTTTCCATAGCAGTAGTTTTACCTTTGCCGGTTTCTCTCTTTTTCGATGCCGATGCTGTTTTCCCCTTCTCATCTTTCGTTACAGCAGTCGCCGAGTTGGGAGCTACCGGATTATTATTTTTGCTTGTTTCTTTGCTGGTAGAATCCACGTTTTCAGTTTTGTTTTGTTTGGCCCCTTTGGTTTTTTTCCCCGGGTTACCATTAGCAAGAGGTGCTTCTTTCGCCTTTGCCGTTTTCTTCGCGGGTTGTGGATCGGTTGCTTTTAGGGCAGCGGATATTTTTGGCATCTTCGTAGCTGATTCACTTCCGTCTTTCAATTTTATCGCACTTTTGGAACCTTTGGCTTTTGCGTTCTTTGTCACTTTTGCTGATTTTATCTCTCCTTTTTCGATTTTTTTTGCTGCCGCTTTGGATTGTTTCTTTACTGGGTCAGCAGCCTGAATCAAACAATTTAAAAAATTATAATAAACATGTGATAAACAAAATCATTGGCACTTACTACTTGATCCCTTTTAGGTTTTTTAACTAACTTTTTCCGATTCTGTCGCTCTTTTTGCTCTTCCAAGCGATTTGTACCTGGGGACACCTTAAATGAACCACCCAACCCAGTACCCTTTGATTGTACCAGCTTTCCACTAACCAAAGCTTTCTTAATATAGTTCTTAATTAGTTTCAATGTCCGTGGTCCGTCTAACTGGGGATAATTGTTCATCACGTATTTTTTTATGGCAATGGCCGAGGAACCGCCACGCTCGTTTAGACTTCGTATTGCAGCAAGAACCATGATCTCGGTACTGACATTTTTGAGGCGCGCGGGCAAACTTACGCCATTCGCCATAGGCTTCGTCTTGCTTGGAGACTTGGCTACATTGAATTTCGGACCTTTCATTGGTTGCTCTTCTTTTATACCATAGATTTTCTGTATAGCATTAACACCTTTGAATAAAGTATCGACCTCACTACTTGAGGATGCTTCAGAGTTGCCTGCATTTTTAATCGTCTGCTTCCCTGCTGTATTCTCTGCTCCAGAGTCTTTCTCAATGTCAGTATTGTCTGAAGCGTGCTCATCTTCATTTGATTCATCAGTATCGTCTTCAGCTTCACCTTCATCCGAATCATCTTGGGATCCGTCCTCACTCACTTCTTCATCTTCTTCATCATCTGAAGTTTCAACTAAACTGCGCACAAATAATTTCATAATTCAACAATAAATTTCCTGTTCACTATAAAACACACAAAAACGAATGTTCGAAATGATTACTGAAGAAATACTGAAAGACAACAAATCATCAATTTTGTGTAAATGCAGTAAGGTTTCAAACGGTTTATTTAACCCATAAAATAGTCACATTAAATGGCAAATAGATTGAATCAAATAGAAAAGTAATTTACACATAAAAAAAGAAACTTTATAGATAGTAGTAAGTTTAACAAAATAGTGGTAGTTTCACTTTTTTTAATTATTAGCAAAATTTGAAATGCATTATGCAATATATCTCTAAATTTCTATATAAATAAATTAGCATCCCTACTCGACCCTTTCACAATAGATCGGTCGCTTCGTTGTTGTTGCTTATGTTATAAGGCATTAATTACTCATATACATATTTATAGCAAATAAGGAATGGTTAAGTTCGGGTGAACTTTTGAACTGAACTTTTCATACTCTTACATCTTGCCGAGATCAAGGCCGGGGAAATACCTTCGGGATTTGGCACAGCTTTATTTCAAAAATGTTGCAAAAGAATTCAACATTCATTGTTCGATGAAATCTTGAATGGATTACAATCAAATTTGTATTTTATTAACTTATTAAAATGGGCGGGGGGTTATCAACCGATTTCATCCATTTTCAAACTGTCGCCAGGGGTTCTTATAACATTTGTCCTCAGCGATTTTGATTATTGTAGCTTTAGTGGTTGGGAAATATGTATACTAAGCCTCCTATAGGGCGGGGCCATGCCCATTTTCTTTTAATTTTAAGTCCATAGGTACCCCTTGCTACTGCAATCTCCTGTTCAAATTGCAGGTTTATATCTTAATTAAATGCTTAGTTATGACATTTTATAGGTTTTCGATCAATTTGATTAATTAATTTCGACGAGGAACGCGTGTATTAAGTTTAATTAAGATATCTTAATTTTTACTCAAGTTATCGCTTACACAGTCGGACAGACGTATCACACAGGTGTCAATTCGATTCGTCCCCCTGATCATTTATATATATATAACGCTATATCTACCTCGATTATTTTTATGTGATGCAAACAACCGTTAGGTGAACAAAACTATTTTACTTTCTAGCAACTTGTTGCAAGAGTATAAAAATAACTGTAAATATTTGTCAAAGTTAATTAGTTTCTTAGCGCCAAGTAGAGGAATAGATTACGCATTATACAAGATATCGCATTATTTTCTTACGAAAACATCAAAGTATTGTAACTTGAAATGATCAAATTAATCGAATGGGTCGTTCGGATCTACATTGGAATTTTGCTAGCTATGCGCCCAGCTGTAGCCATGATACCCGAAGGTGTAACGAACTTTTCGATTTAGATGCTCTAAAAATTGCTGACCTAATTGCAAATTTTAACCTAAGAATGTCTTTTATATTTTTCTTTTTCATATTGTGATACTTGTAAAATTAAGAAATAATGGAGGTCGCTTGCGCTGAGGATGAGCATTGCCAGTATTACGAAGCAAAAAATGTTATTTCGTCCTGCGTTCATGGCTTTTGCCATTGTTACGACAATCAAACGATGACGGACGTTACCTGTAAACCAAATGTACGTTTTTGGGGCCTCAGTAAGTACAAGCAATGTTTATACTGTAGTAATTCAATTGCTTTGTAGATTCTCCGCACGAATAACATAATAGGTGGTAACTGTCCTTGCAATCTACCGCATGCCGAATGTCATCAATCGGACCATCTCTGCTACTGCGAGGACGACTATTTACCTACAAAGGACAGGAGACGGTGCATACCTAGTAAGGAAATAAATCAAACGTACTATTCTCGTTGTTTTATTTAACTTTTTCCTTGTAGAACAAGTTCCATTGGGCGAACCATGTGAAACTGACGAACAATGTCTGTTTTCAACTGTATTCAGTCACTGTGATGAGAGCACAAAGAACTGTTCATGCGATGCTGGCTTTTATAGAAATGACTCCATGTGTCTATCGCAAACCAGTAAGTAATCTGTAGAATGTAGCTTATTAAGAATTTTTTTTTTATTTTACTTAAATTCGGAGACGGTCTAGTATGAGCAAACTTTTTTTTATTAGCCTTCCTAAAAGCTGTGGAGATAAAGTAGCATATCTAAGCTTTTTTATAGATTTTGTTTTACTTAAAAAAGTTAGGGTATACTGCTATCATAAACTGGGAATATGTACATATATCAATCTACAACAGACATATATCAATCTACAAAGTCCTAAAATAGTTTGATGAGACGAGCATTATATGTGCCACACATTGGTGAATTACGTTGTAGCTTGTGTATATCATGTATATGGTTTAACCGCTAACATTTAGAACCTCGTATAGAAGATTAACTGAGTCCCATATTTTCAACAATATATACAATTTTACACGAGGTTTGAGAGAGTGCGAACAGACCGATTTCATTAGTTCATCTCGTTTTGATTTATTCATATATGCCCAAGGCACCTCCGTCGATAATCAAAAAAATAATGCAATAACGAATCATAATTCGTCCTTGTGTTAGTAGAGCTGATTTTCTGGCATAATTACCCAACTTTTATATATTTCTATCTCATTACAAAAGAGCTCAGAGCCAAATGTGACGACAGAATGAGATGCTCACAACACGGGCCACATAACATTTGTTTACCAGACATAGGTGAGTGCGTTTGCGAACAGGGCTATGTGAGTGCAAACACTTCGGAGGATTGTCTACCGGGACGAAAGCTTCACGAAGCCTGTCAAGATGCGACTCAATGCTATGTGTTTATGGGACCAGGCTCTACCTGTGATAACGGCAAATGCCGTTGTAGGGTGGAATATACGCTTGTGACGAAGAAAACCACTGGAAACCGCTATGGTATTACCTTGGAAAAAGTGTGCAAACCCTTCGCAGGTGAGTATCTACAAAAGTTGCATACGAGTGAAATACGTCCCTTCAATTAATCTCTACATCACCGGCAGAAATTGGCCAGTATTGCAGTATTGATGAGCACTGTCACAATGGACCTGAGAAAGAGGATGAGCAGTTAATGGAATGCGATCACAGCGAATGTGTCTGTCGGTTTGGCATCAAAAATCAAGTACCATGCAGCTCGTCTACGGTCTCAAGTGTGAACATTAATAAAATTTTGCTGTGGATTATATTGGCGATGGCGGGTTTGCAAATACATGCGTTGAGATGGGAAGCACAAAAGACTCGCAGTGTTTGAACATTATTCAACAATTTGGAAAAATTCAATTAATATAAAACCTTAGTTTTCTAAAATTTGAAGATATTTATAAAGTTAGTTCGTGGTGAGATTGTTTTATGTCAAAGATTATTTTTTAAATTTTCTCATTTTCTTATGGAATAGCATAAAAATCAAATAAACCTTAAAATCAACTTAAAATGATTCGTTGGTATATTTGGATACGCCAAGTTAAGAATTGTGAAATAAAAAGTTAATAAAATAAGGAAAATGGATAACTTCTGCTGCACCGAAGCAATTATACCCTTTACAAATTCATTTCTTATAGCATAAGAGTATATATAAAAATAGGCATATTCTTTATTTTGATAGGTCACATTGCATTGCTATAATGGCAATCGTGGCAAACTTAATATACTCTGTACAGATTATAAAAAGTATTTGAATGACTTTATTACTTACTTTATTACAAACTTTATTAATGGAACTATGTCCTTCACAATTCAATTACTTTAGAGCATACGTACATACCACTGTTTCCACGCTCTCTAATCTAGGTTTTAATAACTTATTCTTCTTCTTATTGCTGGCAGTAGAAAAATTATTGTTCGCAGACAAAGTGGTACCATGCATAAGTATTTTCAAAAATCAGTTTTATGAAAATACTGTTCTTTAAAGTCGGGTACTGGTCCAATAACGACCTCCCCTTAACCGACAAAGGCGAAACTCAGAGCACGTTTCTAAAGAGTTTCTAACAGACGTGTAAGCACTAATCATGGGTGTAGAGGAATTCAGGTTCTTACTTTGAGTTCTATTATTTATTTTGCAATAAATTATCTATGCCAAACTTAAAATATGCAAACATAACTAGTGTTATTTAAAAATCAGGGTGAAGTAATTATTTAATTCAATGTATTATTATAACATACATATGGACACACGCAGCAACTTTTTTCGCGTTATGTTTAATTTCTCTATAGCACAACGATGGAAGGGAAATAAATGCAGCAAACCAATGGTCAATGAAAACATCGATTTAACTGAGTAATACATTTGTCTCTCACTTTATTGTTGTAGTTGATATACATAGTTTCATAAATTTTGTTTTATACATACATAAACTGTATTATTAAATTTATTTATATTATAGATTTTTTTTACATTTCTGCTCCCGCTATTGTGTTCTAGTATACAACAAACATTATTTGAATTATTGTTATTTGCAATTCATTATCCAGTGGTTAGTTTCAACAAATTTTACAGTATGCTTAGTGAAAAAATGATTAAAGCAATTTAAAAGCTGTGAAAAACAAGAAGAAATAAAAGTTTGGACTCATCAACTCTCACTTTACTGAAAGACTAGTTGGCGAATTGTGCCGAACATTAACGATAGATTTTCGCCAAGTGTGCGGGGTTGTCTCGAAAACTTGAAATCACGGTTTAAGGAAAAGCTTTGTTTGTGTGCGTGTGAGACGAGTTGGGATAGGTTTTTTAATACTTGAAGTAACATACATGCATGAACAAAACATTATTGCGTTAATTAAAAATAGTTTTAAGTTGGAATGCTCTATATGTAAGTGTGTATATGTGTGCTTTTAAGCTGTGACTTCGAACTTGAAAACTTAAGAACTAAAAAAATGTGAGAACAAACTAACTTTCTCGCAACTGCGACTGGTTATGGGCTGCGTTATTTAGGTTTAGAGAATTCTTTAAGTTTTTTTAATTAAATAAAACAAAAGTATAATTAGCAGACACAAAAACCTGATATAATTTACAAGATCTTACAATGAACGAATAAAACACGAAGTAACACATCTATGCTGCGTTTTCTACAGTGATTCCCCTTTTCTAAACAATTAATTATTTACATTCTTATTACGGTGTACGTGTGTTATCGGTATTTATGATTTACATAACATTTAATTTAGCAAATATTGTAGTTTAAATTACTTTTATAAAGTGCATACAATTTATCTAACACATTTATAATTTTAGTAGTTATAATAAAACATTTTAACGCCACACATAGCGGACGTGTGAATCATCAAGCGCGTCTCTATTACAATTCATTGTCTCCTATTTTGCTAAATATCTGCGTTCGGCCATAATTAATTAGTTTCACTTGCAGTTTCACTTTCAGTTGCAGTTTGAAGCCTATTTTACATTTTTCCCATTTTATAGTTAAACTTATTATTGATGTTTTTCATATGAACTGATAATTAATAGTATATTTGATAGGGCCTAAATGGTTCAACATAGCGCTTTCTATATAATTTATAAATGTTGAATGTAGGTTGATTGCGCTTTGCGTTTAAAACTGCAACGTAAACGTAAAACCAATAAAACAAAAAGAAAAGCAACATATTTGATAATAAATTTAATGGCGGGAGTCCCTGGGATAGAATTCCGCGAGAATCGAAGCTGGAATACGCTTCAGCATCTCCTTGGGGAAGATACGCAGCAACTGCCAGCCAATATCCAATGATTCGAAGACGGTGCGGTTTTCGTAGTTACCCTGCGTACATATAACATGCAATTTACAATCAAATTTTGATAGTCTAGCCGATGATAATTCCATATAACGCGAGTCAACTTACCTGAGAAATGAAGTTCTTTTCGAATTTGGTCAAGAACTCCAAGTACAGCAAATCATCAGGCGTCAGCGCCTCCTCTCCGACAACAGCTTTCATGGCTTGTACATCCTTACCGATGGCGTAGCAGGCATACAGCTGATTGGAGACATCAGAGTGATCTTTGCGAGTCATACCCTCACCGATGGCAGATTTCATCAAACGTGACAACGATGGCAACACGTTAACTGGAGGATAGATTTGTCTGTTGTGTAATTGGCGATCAACGTAAATTTGGCCTTCAGTAATATATCCAGTTAAATCAGGAATTGGATGGGTGATATCATCGTTAGGCATAGTAAGGATGGGAATTTGTGTAATGGAACCGTTGCGCCCTTCAACACGACCGGCACGTTCATAAATGGTAGCTAAATCAGTGTACATGTAACCGGGGAAACCACGACGACCAGGTACTTCTTCACGGGCAGCCGACACCTCACGCAAAGCTTCAGCATATGAAGACATATCCGTAAGGATGACCAAAACGTGCTTTTCGCACTGGTATGCCAAGAATTCGGCAGCGGTCAAGGCTAGACGAGGTGTAATAATACGTTCGATGGTTGGATCGTTGGCCAAATTTAAGAAAAGACACACATTCTCCATGGAACCGTTCTCTTCGAAATCCTGTTTGAAGAAGCGAGCAGTTTCCATATTCACACCCATAGCAGCAAACACAATGGCAAAGTTATCTTCATGATCGTCCAAAACAGATTTTCCGGGGACCTACAAATTGTATAAAGATATATTTATTTTAGGTAAATGCTTCACAATCAATTCCTGAATTTTCACCTTAACTAAACCAGCTTGACGACAGATCTGAGCGGCAATTTCGTTATGTGGCAAACCAGCAGCTGAGAAGATTGGAATCTTTTGACCACGAGCAATGGAGTTCATAACATCAATAGCGGAAATACCAGTTTGAATCATTTCTTCGGGATAAATACGTGACCAAGGGTTGATAGGTTGACCTTGGATATCCAAGAAGTCTTCTGCCAAAATTGGGGGACCTTTGTCGATGGGCTTGCCTGAGCCGTTGAACACACGACCCAACATATCCTCAGACACAGGCGTACGCAAAATATCGCCGGTGAATTCGCACACTGTGTTTTTCGCATCAATGCCCGAAGTACCTTCGAAAACTTGAACGACAGCTTTCGAACCGCTCACCTCAAGCACTTGTCCGGAGCGAATTGTGCCATCAGCAAGGCGCAATTGTACAATTTCAGCGAATTTGGGGAATTTTACTTCGTCCAAAATGACCAAAGGACCGTTGACACCAGAAACAGTTTTGTATGCTGTAAATTTATAACAAATTTACACATTTTAGATGCAAAATCATTAAAAATTAAAATAAAAAGTTAAAATTTACTGATCTCGTGGTGTGGCACATGAACAGTTTACAGCTAACAAAAACGACGTTAATTAGCGATATTTTATCGGGGAGATAAGAAAATCCAACTACATAAGAAATGTATTGAACGTCAGCTGACTGTATATCAGAGCAATAACGAAAACCAGTAGAATGGCAAATACCGAAAATGACAGCGAAAATGAAATCACTGATAAATTATATAAAAGCCGTAGTTAATTTTACTTTTCGTTAAGTTGAAACTTCGTTTTACAAAACAGATCATGGCAATATAAATTTTAGAAGATTATGTAGTAAAATATAATTCGTTAATAAAAATTTTAATATTTGATAAGAAATAAAAAATGTTTTTAAACTGCTAAATTGTTAATAAATAATAAAATTACTTTCAGACATTTGTTTTTCATTTGGTCAGGTGCCTCGCCATTTGATTGTTACTGTCATTCGCAACTATGTACACCGATGTCACATGACTATCCCGAGTGCAACCTTTTCAATTGTAAATGGCTTTAACCGTGTCAAAGGCAATTCTCATAGTTTTCAGCAATATTACGAGTCCCATGACCAAAATTGCTTCCTTTTGCCATACGAAAAGAAAGCGTTTTAATAAAATAAAGTCAAAAACTAGCAAAAAACAAATTGGAGCAAGCCCCTCAATGCAACTACATACATTAAAATTGTATCGATTTTTGTCACTTCTTCTTTGCCTTGATATTCGCTGAGCTCTATGGTCTGTCATGGCGGACCGAATTTTTTATTAGCCCCGTCACACTATTTGAAAAAATAAACTTCTTAATTATATTTGTATTACTCACTTAAACGTGGCTGGGAGATGAAATCCCTGGAAACAGCCAGGACGTGCTCCCTGTTTGCTTGTTTTGCAGATATAGACATTTTCTCCTCAATTTATTTGCGCTCCGAATTAGAGTCTCACAAAATCGTTTGTTGGCACACAAACCCTACAATTAACCTAAAGAAAACAACAACTTTTTTAATTATAGTTAAACTATATTCAATGAAATCTTATTTCCACACACGCACAATTTTCTAATAAGAATTTTTCTCTACAACTTGAGCCAGATACTTTTTCTGGTAGAGGACAGTCAGCTGCGCGTTACGATGTCGTTGGAGTACGAAGAAAAATTCACACTAAAGTTTAGACAAGAAATATTCACAGTGACAATATAACTGTCACGTGCGGTCATGTGACCAACACCAGAGTTGCATGTGTGATAACTGACAATGATAGTTGATTGTTGTCTATGCTAGAGATTGGCATCTGTGAATGGCAATTGTGTCATATATTCAGAGAATGCTAATAAATTGAGAAGGCACAAATGTTACATCAAATCCTTTTGACTACTAATTTGATAATTTTCACATGAGGGAACATCGAAAAAAAAATACACAACGCAAAGTGGGAAACGGGGAAAAGGCTATAAATAGACACCGCGAATGTTCTTAAATGGATAGCACTGGGGAACAATAGTTTTGTTTTATGAAATTTCTTTCCCGATTTTGTATGATTTTATCACGCTGATTCCTAATCTGTAATCAGTTTTTCTCTAGCAACTCGAATTTTCAAAATATGAACAATTTCAGAATTAAAAAATATATTGCACTTATTTAACATGAAAAAATTTCTATTATGTGCTTTTCTTGCATTAACCGTGAAATAGTTAAGCTCAATGCGAATACGATCATTTTCGTTCTAATTCTGAAAACCAAGAATCTTATATATTATTTACTTTTATTTTATTAATATTAATCTTAGTAGATCTAAATTCAGTTTCTTTAAAAGCATATTTTACTTACTGAGCTAATTTACATATTTAAGGAAAATATGTCCATATGTTTAGGTTTATTGAATCAGAGAATATACAAGAACAAAAAGGTGCAGGCTCGACAGCGAACATTTGTAAAATTTCAACGGGGCAATTCACCCCGTGAAATAATAACCAGATAATGTTAAAAAATATTTTCAGCACCTTATAAAGGAACGGCTAATTTATGTATTCGCAGATGTTCGTTGGCATGTGTGTTAGGGAAAATTAGATTAACAAAAATAAATAATAGATTTTGAAGAACATTGAAATGAGAGAAATTAAAATTAAACTGAAATGGATGTAATAAAAAAGGTTTATAAAAATTAAAAAAGACATAAACAACATCTGTGATAGGATTTGAGCTCAGGGAAAATATTTGATGTAAATTTGCGATAAAGAGCTCTGCTATACAAGCAGCAATACAAGCAATATCCGAAAATATTGCTCAAATGTGTGAACATTATCATTTTATACTTGTTTCTAATTATCAATTTGTATGTGAATATTCTCAAAATTGCCTTTAAGAACATTATTTGTGTCTATTTATAGCCTTTCCCCGTTTCAGTCATTACGCGGTGTATTTCAAAACGTTCGAAGTTGTTGTTTTCGATGTTTCCTCTTGTGAAAAGCTCAAATGAGAACTTTTTAACATTTTCGCCTTCTCTATTTACTAAAATTTCTGGCCATAGTTGCCAACTTTCAGACCAATTTTCAACAAGCACATTTTTAACAAAAAAAGGTACTAAATTTCTTTAAGTCAATCAGCCATATTTTTCATAACAGTTTGTATTTGACAAAAGTAAAAAAAAATAAGTATATAATATAGTATTGAAAAGCATTTAAACTTGTATAATAACTACATCGAGAATACTAAATATCAATCTTTATTTTGTTAAATACTTATTACTGCTTACTACTATAATATTTCAAAATTTATTCAGTATATACAGTTAAAATATATACTTATCTTAAATTAATTTTATAGTCTATTTTCTCAACAGTTTCAACTAGTGGTCGTACATTTTATGATTTGATTGATCCAAATTATTTTTCGAATTTTGATAATTGTTTTTCCAATCGATAGGAAAAATTACATTCTCTGGTTATATTCTAATTGTCACAACAACAGTTTTATCTTTTTAAACGGTTTTTATGTGGAGTAATGCATTTACTGAAAGAAGGAGCAATCCGTTTCGAATTGTACTATTTGCACTGAACACGCTTTCAACCTCTACGTTTGTGTATGGTAACGAGAAGAACCTAATGGTGAAATTTTCCAAGTTTTCAGAAGGATTCACACCAACTGAGTCCTTATTCACCTTTAACTTAAATTCAGAAATTAAAACGATTTTCAGTATGATGCCATTGAATAAAACAAATATTTCTTTACGCATGATTAATATTCGCCTAATTTTTAGAATCTGTAACAAATTATTTCGTCAACGGCAGCTTTAGTCTTTAGTCTTTATATAATACAGTAATGCCATGGGTTTAAATCAGTGATCGGCAGCCCATAGCACTACATCACTCTCTGAGCGTGCTTTGAGTATACGTGTGTTTCACACAGCTTGCGACAGTTATTATACCGCAGAAACGATAAGAGTGCCAGTTGCTTTTTGACTACGCAGCGAGTAATAAATTACGTACGCGGAAAGTATACGCAAATCCAACGATTTCATATGCCCTTTAATATTGAATGGGTTTTTTTTTTTTAATTTTCTTTTAATGTTAATATATCAGTTGTTTAGTTTTCATAATTAAATAAACAATTATTTATATACATACTATTTTCATACAAGAACGATTTAAAGAAAATTAGTGGTGGTACTAATTACACTTAAACTGAAAATGGTATAGGCCCTGTAAAACATAGCACTGGGACAGATGAGTCGCTCTCCACACGCATTCACTCTCAAAAAATAAAACGTTTGAATGGATAAGAATGCCGACCACTAAATATATAATATAACATAAATTGAACTCTTTCATGTTACTCACCATCTTAGAGTTCAAAAAAAGCACTAGCATGGGCACACTAGCCACTAAACCTTTTTTTGGCGTTTAAATTTTCAAAAAGCACTAAATCTAGTGCTTAAAGCACTAAGTTGCCAACTATGCTATGGTACGTCTGTTTGTGATTCAGTAGTTCTCTTCAGTTAGTTTGTGTTTGAATTGCAGGGTGAGTGTTAGTTTAGATTGTGTATATTTTCTCTTTAAATCAGTTGACATTAACCGGTGGTGACTATCCAGCTGAAAACGATAACTAAAAGTAAAGTCACATATGATTGTGTTTTATAAATATTTAACTACCACTCGATTGCAGTAACGATGCGCATGGCTGTCTAATGATTGTGGAAATGACTGTGTAGAAAGGATATTTTGTATTTCGTGTTGTGGCAAGTAACAATTCAATATTCGCGATATCTGTTTTATTTTTCCCTGACAACAGGATTTCAATTGCTTTAGTAGTACACCTTGTTACTCAAATATAAAAAGTCAATTTAATATATGAAAATACCCAGTGAAATTGTTTAAAAAATCTAAGTTACTAAATATTTTCAAGTTCAAAGTCAAGGTCGGCTTGATACAATTATTTTAAAAACACCACAATGTTTGTATACGTCATATTCTCAAATTGATTGCAGTGAAAAACTTCGGCAATGTATCAGTGCATTAAGTTGTGAAAGTTGAAATAAGATATAAAAAAATCCTTATATGTGTATGAACATTCGTACATACATATTCTTTGGCAAAACCCTTGAACGTTTTTTCTTTTGAAATACTGATTGTATTGTAAGTTTATCGTGCTTTTGTTTATTGTGACAATATAGACTTATAAATACATAATTATAACCCGATGGCAGCAACCATGCGCATGGCTGTCGAATAATAGTGGAAATGTCGGTGGAGAAAGGATATTGTTAATTCTACGACTATTTTATTTTTCGCTGATTGAAATAATTCTTTTGCTTTACACACTTTGTCACTCAACCCATTCCATTAAGATTAAATTTAATCAGTGAAAAGGTCCAGTGAAGTTATGAAAAAGATTTAAGTCACTGAATCCTTTGAAATTCATAGTCAAGGTCGACTTAAGTGAAAATGATTTTTGAAAATTTACCTTGTGGATTACATATGTCAAATATGAGTGTAGTAAAAACCTTTAAAAGTGTGTGAGGGCATCAAATCGTAAGTTTAAGTAAAATATACAAAATGTTTATGTCATAAAGCAAACAATTTTACAAATGATTTATCTTGAAAATGAGTTATTGTATTGCCTTTTTGATATTTGTATGTAGTAAGAATATATACATATGTACCTGTATATGTTACATATGCCAGTATTTACTCATGTACATAATTATTTATGTATGTTTGCATATAGTAGCGAAGTAAAGAATTTATGCAAGATTAGCAGAAAAATTGAGTGAACGTTCCTTCTGAAAAAAATATTTGTGCTGTAAATGTGAAGTGTTTCCTTTTTGAATAATTTCTGCTTTGCGAAAAAAAAGCGAGGAAATATAGTGTAGAACCATTAAACTAAGGGATTTATACATGAATTGTTCAGAAAATTATCCGTACGAAACAAATTAAAGGACTTGCGCTAATAAAAGTTCACATAGAATGTGAATAACTACGCCTAGAGCAAGGGAGCATGTAAGTAGCATACAACGCCTTATTATCCGTCATGTACGATTTCAAAAGTACGTCTTACGTAATGATATATTGCATCACTGCATCGTGGATACCGTCATGTTTAATCCACTCTTGATCGTATTTAGTGATTGTTAGCTTGTTTGTTGCAGTCATGAAAATAATCTGTACACTCAAATAATAGTTTTTTATTAAACTAATATTGTATATTTAAAGAAATCAAAAAGTATAATAGGGATCTCTTAAGAACAAATACATGTGTATGTGTGTATATGTATTAACTATTATATTACATTCATTTATTTCAAATTTTTTACATATTCTTGACAAGGACACCTAGTGTGATTTTTTGGGAATTAAAAGAAAAAAAACACTTATAGAAGTATATCTATTGCTAAAAAAAATATGGTATATTTATTCATATTTTAAAAATACACATTAAAATTTTTGAAGAAAAAACTAAATATTTTACGAATTACACGCGATCTCCTGTTGAAAGAAACAGCCCTCCACTGCTGCAATGCTTCCGGCCTTATCCGCGGGCTGTACTGTTTCGGACTTTTGCGTAAATATCTTAGATGGTGACTAAACTGCTATATTATATACGTATGTAATGCATTGCATATGTAATGTTTTTATACTCTCGCAACCTGTTGCTACAGAGCCTAACGGTTGTTTGAATCACCTAAAACTAATCGAGTTAGATATAGGGTTATATATATATAAATGATCAGGATGAAGAGACGAGTTGAAATCCGGGTGACTGTCTGTCCGTCCGTCCGTCCGTCCATCCGTCCGTGCAAGCTCTAACTTAAGTAAAAATTGAGATATCATACATTTGATAGGCATGTTTCTTAATACCGCGAGACGGTTGATATTGCAGATGGGCGTAATCGGACCACTGCCACGCCCACAAACCGCCATTAATCAAAAATAAATACATTGCCATAACTAAGCTCCGCAATAATATACAAGACTGTTATTTGGTACACAGGATCACATTAGGGAGGGGCATCTGCAGATAATTTTTTTTTTTTAAGTGGGCGTGGTCCAGCCCCTCATAGGTTTAATGTGCATATCTCCTAAACCGGTAATACTATAATACCAAAATTCACTGGAAGCAAATTTTTTTAGAACCTCTACCTACAGTGTGAAAATAGTTGAAATCGGGTGGCAACTCCGCCCACTCCCCATATAACGGTACTGTTAAAAAGTACTAAAAGCGCGATAAATCCATCACTAAACACGCCAGAGACATTAAACCTTATCTCTGGGATAATATGAGATGACTTTATAGGAACCGCGTTCAAACTTAGATAGTGGGCGTGGCACTGCCTACTTTTAGGTGAAAACTTCTACCGAAAATATCAGTCAATCCACAAAGAAATTACAAAGGAGTATACCATTTGACTTTGCGAGAGTATAAATGTTCGGTTACATCCGAACTTAGCCCTTTCTTACTTGTTTTTAATCAAAAATTATTTAAATCTAAATATTATATATAATATTTTCCGCATACTCTTTTGTTTTGAATTCAATTGTCCTTGTTGCTTTGCTAGGTACATTTTTGGACAAAAGAGCAGCGCACAAAGCGCAGTGAGCAAAAAAGTTGCGATATCGAGCCATGTAATACATAATAGCTTTGCATAAACATGAAAAGTAGTTATAATAAATGTATATTCAAAATATCTGTAATATTTTATATTTTTTAAAATCATCATATTTTTTAATGTATATTCTTGTACATACATACATGTATTTGAATAAAACTAGTAAAACTAGTGTGAAATTGTGAAAGCAATTATTTTTTATTTTATGCATATTTCGATATTATATGCCTTTAAAAATACCATACCTAAATTATAAATAAAAATTTCAAATATTTTTTGAGTTTAGTCCAATAAATAAAATTCAACTTTTTTTTGAATGCCTCCATTTTTACCAGTTTTTGATTTTTTTACGACTGTAGGTTATTGTATGGACAATATCTTGTAGAGAGATTTTGTTTTAGGTTTCATCCACGTAGAAGGTCAGAATCTCTGCAGCAGTGTAGGACCTTAGTGCTTCCGGAGACCGCATGTAACTCGATTAATATGTTTTTTTTTCAAAAAATTTAACGGCTATTTTAAAAATATGTATGGCCTTAAAATTTAAAAACAATTGATAAAATAGTTGTTTTTTACATTCCCAAAATCGTAGCAAAAAAAGTAGCACGTTTACGCTTATTATCGATGACCCGGTGCAGCATTTCGGCTAGAATTTCAGCTATAGTGCGCTGAATGTTGTTTTTATGATTCTCGAGCGTTGCTAAACCTTTGATTTAATATACCCCAGAGAAAATAATCTAGAGACGTTAAATCGCATGATCGCTGCCAACCATTTGACTGAGCCATTTCTCGAAATTAACGAGACGCCAAACTTTGCACTCAATGTGTCCATGTTTAGACTTGAAACATGAGGTGGCGCACCTTTTTGTTGGAGATAGAGATCGTCCGTGTCGATTTCATTGAATTGGGGAAAAAAGTCGGTCAACATGGTGTTATAACGTTCGCTGTTGATGGTAACCGCATTTCCTGTCTCATTTCGAAAGAAATAAGGCCCGTTGATGTGGCAATACCACAATCCGCACCAAACGGTCAATTATTGGCAATGCAATTGCGTTTACTGAGCCACATGAGAATTTCACCCACCCCAATAGGGACAATTTTGTTTGTTGAGGAAGCTATTAAGCCAGAAATAAGCCTCATCTGAGAAGACCGTGTTTTGAGCGTAGAGCTCTTACTGTAGCCACCGGAGAACGTAAATTTGCGCAATAATCTTGGATTCTTACCAAGCGTTGTACCAAAGTGAAGCATGTCGTGATGAAATGGCAAACCTGACTGAACACACTGACAAAAATTGCCAAAAATCCGTAAACAAATATAGCCGCCATGAGCTGTCAAAATTACGACAAGAAAATTAAAGTTAGAACACCCTTCGCAAATAAAAAAGATTCCATACAAAACTTGTTATCGATCGTTTGTCTTTCCACATTCATTTCATTTTAGACAATTGATTAAATAAATACTCGTAAATGTAAAATGTTAAATAAAAAGCACAAAAATATTGAATAATAGTTTAGCAGAAGTATAAATAAATTAAATAAATAGAGTAAATATTATATGAATAAATCTTTGGGCATACGGGTATGCAAATTTCGACACACACATACGCGTATGTATTCGATAATTATGTATTGTGACATTTGGGTATGGAACGCCCAACGCCAGATACGTAGTATTAAGAGACAATGTTTACAGTGGTAAACTACAGTATTGGGTAAAAAGTTACATACAATTGTTGCTAATTTATATAAAAACAATTAATCCATATTCCTGGAAGAATACCAGTTAGGCATTTTTGATATCAAAAGACTGAAAAACATCTTATATCAATTTTTAATGAGGTATTATACCTGTCAAATGATTTTGATAGATAATCGAACTATAATTTTTTGGCCTATTTTCGGAACTGGTAAACTGGTCAGGGTTTCTGACCGAAATTTGACAATATGGATATACATTAGTTGATCCAACGGTTTCGGATTTACAGCGAAACTAAAAAAGAAAACATAAAAACCCTTCACAAATAAAATACTTTCCATATAAGAACTTGATTTTGATCAGTCAGATTGATTCCATGAAATTTTACCTAAGTTGAGTTTTACCACAGCATCACCCATTAGATGCGCCGCTAAATTACATACAACAAATTTCGATGTTAACAGTTTATCTACATACATACATTTGTATATGCGTATCGTACCAGAATCACAAAATCACTACGTTGAAATCGGTCCAGCTGTCAGAACTAGAAGAATAGGAAATATTATATAATATATTGTTAGGTATTGTAAGAAACTGTAAAAATTTAGGCACAAATTTTCATGTTCTAAGTGTGTATCAAGCATGCTTTAGGAATGTAAGTTAAAATTTGTTCTTAAACACTTTTTAACTGTTACAATGTTATTTAAATACAATGTTATTCATATGTATGCATAGTATCAATGAATCTACAGAAATAATTATTTTTGAGATTAAACTAATTTATCTACTAGTATATACAAATGCGTAAGTAAATGCAAATTTTAAGGTCAACAAGTTTCTTGTCACTTTCATATTAGCGTTACCATATGTAGCTGTAAAAAATGTGTTCGGGTTGATAATAGTAGCAGGCAAAGAATAAATACGAGTAGGGAAGGGTTAAGTTTGAGTGTAACCGAAGATTACTAGGCCTAGGAGAAGGCCTGAACTGATTGCATTAACTTTTGGCATTACTCAAGTATACTCGAGAATATATTTATACGCATTTATGTATATGTAGTATGTAGGAGCTGGTGTAATTCGTGACCAGGTTTAGTATTGTATATACTTAATTTTGCTAAGATGTCTTACATACGGAAGTTTGAAATTCTTGTATTAGGTATGTACAAGCTATGGACCCATTTCAACAATTTTTAGACGTGAAATACCCTTAAGGGGGTATAGGTCTCGTCCAAAGATTTATTTTGATAGCTTTAGTGGTGCTTGATTTATATACTACTAGCAAATCACTCCATTTGCTATCCCCCTTGGCGGAAGCGGACTTATATAGACGATGATATGTGAACCTCAAACTAACCTAAACATAATAATATTTACCGCTTCGTAGGGAGCCAACTGCGCAAGTAAGTAAAGTGAAAATATCAGAGGAATTTTAAAATTGTGATATAAAGGAATTAGACGTGATTGTGACCCGATTTTCACACTGTGACACAAAAATTTCAGGATAATCATATGTACAAATTTTTTAAATTGGTGGAGTAATTTCTGTGATAAAGATTTCGCCTAAAAGTGGACCATCCAATTTTATTCCGATTTCTAGAAGCCCTCAAGTACTACTTGTATGTTAGATGTAAAAACCAATGCTACTGACCCATTTGTTTAAGGAGGGCGCGGTAATCACCCGATCTTATCAAATTTCATACTGTCTGTGGAGATACTGGTGGGAACCGTTTGCTTGATATAGTTTAAGTGGTTTGTGAGATATGTACGTCCACTTTTTAGAAATTTTCAGTCCGCGAATCCTCCTTTCCTTTGCGATCACCTGTGTCAAATTATTGTATTGTTTTGTATCTTTATTTGTGGCTTAGTTACAGCACTTTATATGTTATAGATATAACTTTAACTTACAGCAGTGAAAACTGCAGATGGAAACCTCCTCGTCTATTACTTACAAAATGAATTATTACAAATTACAAAAAATACAAATTAGATAACGCATTCCTGTCAATTCTTAATATACTCGTATCATATACATATGTATTTATAATAAAAGTAGTCGTCACTGAGTCGCATACCAGTTTAACTAAAATATGTTTTTAAAACCTACAATAAACAAAAATCCAATAATAAGTAACTTGTATACGTGACCAAACACAGAAAATAGTTGCAACACAATGATTGCAACACTAAGTTCATGACAGCGAAAAAGCAAATTAGTATATGTAAAATATAGAGAAAAAAAATACAGTAATATTAATTTAAGTATACATACATACAATATTTTCTTTACTAGAGAAATTTCCAAATAGTAAAGTTTTTGAACTTCTTATTATAATTCTACAAACACACATTTTTTTAGATTTACATATAATGAAGTAATTTGAGGTAATTGACATGAACTTTAACTAATCGGGCAAAAAGTAATTTAGTTTTGTTACACAAATTAGGTGTTCTGTTGTTTCTGACGTTTAATTAGTAACCAGATGCGTTTGTTTGTTAGAACTATTTATGTGTGATACTTTACCAAATATGATGCAATATCTTAACAGCAATAACAACATAAATAATGTGTCAAGAGTTATATTTATTTAATTTCCTCTTGTGTTTTATTGATAAGACGGACTCTGACAAAATAGTAACATTTATGAAGACGGCACCATTTCCGAGAAAAGGTGGTCTGAGCAAATATGGGAAATGAAGTAACTTGTTCTCAAGTATTTAATGTTCTTAATTGGAAGTTATACAAGTATAAAAGCTACTAGTTTAGTGTAAAACTCAGATTAACAAGTAAGAAAGAGTCTGGTTTGGGTGCAAGTAAACATTTTATACTTTTGTCCGAGATATTTATAAATTGTTCAGAGAAAGGTCAACCTCGTCAATGTGGAGTTGGACTTTGGGCAGATGGTATTTACTAAAACTAAATTATGCTAGAGAATAGAGTTTCACGCTGCGATATTAAGATATCTCTAAAATTGACCAATATATGCTGCCAAAAGTCCACGACAGGGTAATTCATGGGCCGATTTCTACCATTTTCAGCACCAACTTAAATATTAATATGGCGAAAGTTAAATTAATGGGAAACTGTAGATTTAACAAGTAAGGTACCACCAAGTTCGAGTGTAACCGAATATTTAGACTCGCAATTTGCAAAGGTTAAAGGCGGGGAATACTTTCAGTTGTTGGCAAAACTTGATATTACAAAATATTGCCAAACAATTCAACATGCATTATTCGAAGAAATCGAATAGATTACAATAAGACTTATGTATATTTTAAGTCGTAGACTCCTTTACTTTGATTACTACATTTTGCATGTTTGAACTATTAATATTAATATTAACCTTATTAATCTAAATATATAAATGTGATATAAACTTAATCAAAGCTAAATTTAATATATGGGATAAATAAGGAAAACATCAACCAAAGGATGGGAATTCCCAATTTCATTCCGGACAAATGAAAATTATTATATTTAGTATTTCATTTTCAGCATACAATTTATACTATAGTTACACCAGAGAACTTAAAACAACTTTTAAGTTCTCTGGTTACACATTCATTTAATTTTGCTAAGACATCTTACATATTGGCCAACTGCGAGTTTGAAATTCTTATATAATATAAGTCTTATAAGTTTTCTTTTCTTTCTATAAGAAGAAGCTATAATACCCTTCACAGATACAGAGGTTCCTTACAATAACTTGATTCCGATCTAATTTCGTGAAGATGCCTCGTCAAAAAGCCATGCAGGCACTTTACTCCGATCGTTCAGTTAATATGGCAGCTATATGTTGTAGTCCTCCGATCTGTACAATTTCTTCGGATATTGCACTATTGCCTTAAATAATAATCCATGCCACATTTCGTGAAGACCTCGTAAACTGAAAGAGTTTTCCATACAAGCACTTTATTCCGATCCTTCAGTTTGTATGGCAGCTATATACTATAGAGAACCGATCTAAACAATTTTTTTGGAAATTTAAATTATAATTTAGTTTATATATCGTACAAACCGCTTAAGCTTTATCAATCAAACTTGCTAGTGATGGTTCCTTTCAGCATGTTGTGAATCGGTAAAGGTTATACTGAAAACTACTAAATAAGCGGTAACTCATTAATGAATTAAGAAAGGCTTTAGCGGAGCCCGCCGAACCAATGGCGTGGAACCGCTGATCTTTGGGTGAAACTCCATATTTTAGTACCTACTCGAAACTCTACCTACTCCCTAATAACACAATTATAAATTTTAACTGATTCTTTCACTTCCCAGTGCTTAATTAAATTTTGTGAAATCGGTCCACTTATTACCCCAAACCACAAATGTATACTATTGTACTTACAAGTATATTGATTTTCCTTATTATGAATTGTCTTCACAAAGTTGCATAGCAACATGTTCTTGAGTATACTTTAGTAATGACAAAGATTAATGCAATCAGTCCAGATCTTCTCCTAGCCTCAATATACGCGGCATAATGATTTCCATCTTATTTGACTTTCCATTTGATTTTGAAGCGTTTACGAGTATGTGGGTCGAAATTTGTGATATCTTAAAAAATTTGTCATTTAAATTTTCCTTAATAATAACATCTTTTAGCGCGAAAGACCATGGTCCAAACTCTCTAACATCTCTAGTATACTAATTTCCTCTTCTCTGTCTGAAATTAATTAAATGTCGTCGCTTCGGTTGAGTGTACATCACATACATATGTATATATATACAAGTATTAATTAGTTTGATTTTAATACAAATATTTTGGTCAAGTAAAAAGTAGTGTTGCACTAAGTGAGTCTACGACTTATATTATATGTTAATTAAATACCAAACATGATTGTAATCCTTTCACCCTTTCGTCGATTAATAAATGTTGAATTATTTCGCAACATTTTTAATAAAAAGACTTGCAACACCTGACAGTATTCCCCATTTCGCATAGGTCATTGCCAAAAGCAACGCTACAGTTTCCGAAAAAAATGTTCAGATCGGACTACTATAGCATATAGCCGCCATAAAAAGTTTGTATGTTTTGTATTACAAGCTGACTGATAAAAATCAAGTTCTTGTATGGAAACTTTCTTATATGTAAAGAGAATTCTAGCTTCGGTGCAACCAAAGTTAAAGTTTTTTCTTGTTATTATTACAAATGGCGAGAGAATGCTATAAATTGTTCGTCTACCACAACTTAAAATTTCCTTATTTTATCACCATTAGTACCTTTATCGTCTAAAAGTAATTTTTCCACTTTAATTGCTTTTTATTTACAGGAATTTAGCTATCGGACGTGAATTTAACAATTGAATTATATAGCACAATGAATGGGACGGAGTGTGAAAATATGGCAGCCTCATTGAGATGGTCAGATCCAGCGAATATAATTTCGTTAGCTATACTTCTATTTATCATACTCTTAGTAATTTCCGGAAATTCTTTAGTTATAGCAGCTGTATTCTGTTCAAACAAATTACGGAGCGTTACGAATTACTTAATCGTTAATTTAGCCGTTGCAGATTTGTTGGTAGGGTTAACTGTTCTTCCGTTCTCGGCAATATGGGAGGTCTTTAAGGTGAGTACCAAATGCAAGATATGACATTTTTTCACCCAAACAACTAATCCAATCAAAAAATTGCAAATTGCTAAGAAGTATACGAGTTTTGTTCACCTAGAGTGTGGTTTTACCACTAAAACTAGTGGTTTTACTCTTCCTCTAGTGGGTAGAAAATTTTTTTAGTGCTTAGTGGTTTTTTAGTGATAAATAATACCCGCCAACGGTCAATACAAAAAATTAAATATATAATGGTAAATATAATATACATATAGTGCTTTCTCTCGCTCTAAGGTATTCTAGCTTTTTTCAAGTTTTCTCTACTATACAGTATATATAGTCTATACTCAGTTGTTTACTATATATAACAGATTACTGATTCGCTTTCATCATGTTTTGCTGGTTCTTTCTTCATGAGAAAATAAATCATCGTTTTCAAAATAAGTATTTATTTAAAATAGTTTTAACATTATTGCTTTCCTTTCCTTCTTATTTTATATATTTGAATTAGTTAGCTTAGCTTGGAGAGAGCGCTAGTGGTTTTTTAGTGGTTTCAGAGTCGACACTAATGGTCTCTCGAAAAATTTTCTGGCAACACTGTTCACCTAACGATTATTTGCCACGCCTACAAAACACTATTAATCTAAACCTTATAAACAGGGAATACAGGGGATTGCAGTACCAAGTGGCATCTGTGGTATAAAAATAAAAAAATGTGCTTGGCTCGCCCTCTAATAGATTTAATGTAGGCAAATCAAACCCATATCTCTCGACCTACTCGACCAACCAAATTCGGCAGGTAATATTATACTTCCTACATGACAGTGCGAAAATGGACTAATTCGGACAAAAACTACGCCTACTTTCCAAAAAACACAGTTTTAAGTTTCATCTGATTCTTTCACTTTCCATAATACAAATCAAGAAACAATCAATGTATCCGGATAAAACTTTGCACAATTAGTGCCTTTGAGGTGCCCCCCCTTATAACTAAAAATTCTGGCTACAACTGTTCAAGCCCACAGCTACCGGTTATGTGAACCTCAGTTCCTAATGCGAACTTTTAATCGAAAGTGTTGGTCAATCTGTGAAATGCATGTATGAATGTCAAAAACGGATTGAACCAGATCAATACTTCCTTTACGCCCCATATACCCATATACCCATATATGTACGTAATACGTAACGCTAATTGTAAGAGTATGAATTGTTCGGTTACACCCGAACTTACTTGCCATTCTAGTAGCCATTCTCCGTGGAGTGAAGTTGTTAATATCATTTTGCGAGAAAGTGTCAATAAAAAATGTTTAGAAATACTTAACTAAAAAGTCTTATTGTAAAATGAAGTGAACAATATAAATAAAAGATTTATCGCACTTTTAGTAATTTTCAACAATACCGTTATACGAGGTGGGCTTATTATTATTTTTTCCATTTTCAGTCACTCGGAATTCAATCTGATCATTTATATCGTCTCGTCAATCTGATCATTTATATATATATAATTCCATATCTATATCGATTATTTTTAACAACCTAACAACCGTTAGGTGAACAAAACTATTATATGTATGTATTCTGTAGCAACATGTTGCAAGGGTATAAAAATTGTTTTTTGGCGGGGATGAATTTGCAGATGAGGAATATGAAAAAGAAAAACACAGTTTTGAAGAAACATTGAATAATATTATTGATAAAGGCAAAAATATCGAAATTAGTATGATTGACGAACTAATAGGAAAAGAAAATGAGAAAAAATTTAAAAGGGACTTCCATGATATGAATCCATTCTTAAGTGAATTCTAATATGGTAATATTACAAGAAATTATTGGTGAGCGCGTTATGACGTTATAAATGTTCAATTTATTTGTAATTTTGTATATATGTACGCCAGCGCATTATATTAAAATATATTTATAAATTCGGATTAGTGTTATATATCATTGTGTGACATATTAATTACTATACATACTGGAATGTTGACATTAATATATTATTGTTTTTCTATTGGCGTCGTGCCGTCATTAACCCTTAGCCCGCATTTGCTTGTAGGGCAATAGTGGAGATGTGTTCATTTAGAATAAATACTAAAAATTAATGTAGATTTTTTGTTAGTTAAGCCGTGTTGAAAATGTTTTGCCTCATTCACAATGTAGGCTCTAACCATTTTTACCTTATCGTCATGAAACTTGTTAATATGCTTCTTGATCGAATTGGGAGGTCGGTATTGTAGATGAGTAATCGAACCATTGCCACGTCCACAGAATGCTATTAAGCGGAAACCTATAAAGTACTATAAATAAGCTCCAAATTAAGCTATAGAAGTGGAATTCGGTACAGGGTAGCCAAGAAATGGACATGGTTCAGCCCCCTAACAGGTTTAAAGTACATATCTCAAATACTATGCTAGTTAATTCAGACTAGACAAATCTTTTCGATACCTCCTACAAAAGTGTGAAAACGAATTTTGCGTTTGTTATGTTTTTGGGAATTTTTAATTGATAAAATATTTAACGTGGTAGTTTCATAGTCTGTTTATGACACTCAGAACATGATTTATTTGATTACAATTCTACAATATTTCTATTAAAACTTTTGTTGAAAATGTCGTAAACATCCATGATATTATTTCATTCCCGTTTCACCATGGTCCTTCCACACAAACTATTAAATCTCTTTTTAAAAGAAGCGGAATTAGATGGGCAATGCTGCATTACAAAAACCAGCACCAATATGAAATTACTTCATTGCATAATCCGAAAAGCGGTTACTTTACCGAAATGGGCTATAAAATTAAACAGAAATGCGCTTTGTTTACAGTGTTTTCGCATTTACTTATTTATTTAAATACATGGTTCTTCGTAGCTGAGCATTAAAAAAAACATAACATATGTTTGTATTTAATAGAGACTATTCATTTTGTACAAAATTAAGAAATAATTAAATTTTTTGAGCTTGCTTTGAAACAGTTTTGATTAAGTTTTAGTCAACTTTTGGTTCTTTCAATGCACTTTGCATTTAACATTTTCTTAAGTTTGTCTACTTTATCCATTATACCATCAATCAAATTTAAATTGCCTACTCTTGCACTCGACTTACAAATCTAAATCATGACAGAGCCTCCATCGTGCTATACGGTTGCCTTTCTATGTTTGAATCAAATTCAGTATTCGGATTACGTCACACAACCATTTTGGCATTTCATCTAATTTGAAATTAAATCTTGCTTTCATCATAAACATTAACCACAAAATCAGCTGATTATAAAGATAAAATGTTTTTGGCAAGTACACTTTGGAGTATGTTTTTAAGGTTTATGAATGGCTTCTTTCTAATTATTCGTCTAAGGTTCTGATTTTTATTTAGGATATTCCGTATAGGTTTTAAAGCTATTATTCGAAGATATTCCATTGCCGTTACTCACAAAATAGCGTTAATCGAAAATCTTTAAAGTGCTAAAAGTATGCCACAAACTGAGATTCAAAACTATTATTTAGTACAGAGCAAATGAACAATGTGAAATTTTTTTCTTCCTATAGAGAGAGTATAAAATATTGCGGTACACCCGATCTTATGTAGCTCCTTGCTCTTTTTTTGGTGTTTTTATTTACATTTTTGAACCTTACGTTACTTGGAAAATGTTGAAGTTAAAACTGTATACCATATTTCATCGAGAAGGTATATGTAAGTATATTCAATCAATTACAGTAGGGTATTATTCTATATTGTGATTAAATCCTATTTGGAAATTGCCCTACTTCTCTCATTCTTACTTACTTCAATAATTTAGTATTGTTGTACTACCGATAAGAGTAATATTATACAATTATTCCTTTTTGTGAAAAAAATACTTAAATGTAGTAGTCTTTGGTCTTATTGTGATTTTCTATATTTATTATAGGTATGGATATTTGGTGATGTCTGGTGTCGTATGTGGCTTGCTGTAGATGTATGGATGTGCACTGCATCCATTTTGAACTTATGCGCAATATCTTTGGATAGATATGTAGCCGTTACCCGTCCAGTTGCCTACCCGAGTATAATGTCAACAAAACGGGCTAAATCATTGATTGCCGGAGTGTGGGTGCTTTCATTTGTTATATGTTTTCCCCCGCTTGTTGGCTGGAAGGAACAAAAGGTATATAAAGAAGTTACAATAATTGCATGAGATGATTTATATTTGGCGATTTTTAAAAAAATTATTTTTGGATTTTTATTAATAATAATATTTATTAATATTTTATTAATAATATTAACCTAAGAGACAATTGTTTATTCAATATGTTACAAAAAATTGGCACCATCCTTACTGTAAATGGCAACTGGAAAATTTATTTTTGATTGATCGGATGAATTATTGAAAATTCCATTCTTGTCCCATTTTATATTATTCCAGGGCATATTAAGTTTGCCAAAATGGCATTATTTAAGAACCTAAAGTAAAATTAAAGTTATCGTTCATTGATATACAAACACGACTCGTATGTATGTGCAGCATGCTTATATAATTATTCTCACTAAATGAAAATAAATTGGTGCTCACATTCTTGTCACTCTATTGCTTCCATAAAAGCCTTAAGATATCGCAATAATTATCTGGAATAGCCGATTAAATAAGTTGACCAGGTTAGCAAAAGTTAACATTATTTGTTTGTTTTGTGAAGTTATCTACTTCTGTGCTTATTATAGTTCGAAAATACTGATGAGACCTACTTCATATATTCTCCTAGCAGATGTAACTTGGTAAAATCCGCTTTCGCTTCGGTTGTTAAATTTTTCAAGAATGCAGTCTACAAGATTGGTAATCTACAATTATTGTGTATGTTATTTGTGTATTCTGCAATTAATCGTTATTATCGAACAAATTAGAGCGAAATGTTTCGATTGCATATACTAGGAGCGAAATTGCACTAATGAAAGAACTAATTAGACGCTAGAGCTTCCGTTTTGAAAATAAAAGTTATTAATTAAAAAAGTATAACACAAGTGTTTGACTGTTATGCTGAGTCTTGCCATGAATTCTGTTACAAAGTTTACAACGCACAAAGTGAGAACAAATCCGCTGTAAAAGTGCCGTTATTCTTTATTATGATTGTATGTAGTGTTTACTGATATACTTATAATAATCACTTCAATGTTTGCTTTTGCTTATTAACAATGGAGTGGGCAGCTAAAGAAACTCGTATTGCGGAGTTATTGTAAAGCAAATAAGTGTGAAAAAAGCGCGAATAAAATTTATGAGCTTCTCAGAAAACTTAATATTTTGAGAATGTTTGTTTACCGCATTACTGATCGTTTTTCCCAAATTTCTATAGTTGAGGAATGGTCGTCCTCTCTGGGTTCGAACCACTTCAGTCATAAAAATTGCTCGCGACCAGGGTGGCTCACGAATCATGCTAGAAAAACAAACCGCAAAGCTCTTTCTAAACCATACTAAATTGTCATATTGGATATGCGAATATTTTCTTATATACATATGTCTAAATATATATACATACATATATATATAACACTTTTATCTTTTTTCTATCAGTCGATAATACAGTCAGTGTACACACGAGAAAATTACACCCGTTTCTATACCACAACTGTTGTATCTGTTCAGCGTAGTGTGCAACTAAAGCAAATGCAGCAGTCACGATTTCCATACAATCGGACACATATGTCAATAGATGCAACGCCTGACATATTAATGTCAGTTACAGAGGGTTTTAATTACCAAGATCCAGCTCAAATATCTTTAGAGAGTGGAGAATATGTTGAGAGTTCAAAATTCTTCTATGAAGAGTCATTTTGTTCCTCAAAGTGTGAATTGACAAATGATCGAGGTTATGTATTATACTCAGCATTAGGATCTTTCTACATTCCGATGCTTGTGATGCTCTTTTTTTATTGGCGCATATATAAAGCAGCAGTGAGAACTACACGAGCAATAAAACAGGGCTTCAAGACCACCAAAGGTAAGTATTTTTAAAATAAATCAATTCATCTACAACATTTGTAGCTTTCCTTTGTAAATACTAAAAGATTAAACTGTTGTGGAATGCACAAACATACATACATACATATATATCAACATTTAAATTCACCCTGTTCTTGGTAATATTCAATTTAAAGATAGCTGTCTTTGATTCGCCAAGCGTAGTAGCCAATCGAACAAACTATACCAGATGTTCAAATTTAATTATTTCTGCATCACAATATGTTTTAATAATACATTAGTTATGTTTTCTATAAACTATTTTAATTAATTTTACGTCTTAAGTTTTTAAAATTAGAGACAGAAAATAAAATTTTATTTTCATTTGTCGTGTGAGCCATTCACAATAGTAAAATTAAAGTCAACGAAGGGATTCATTCACAGAGTTTTTGATAAATTACACAGCTGGAGAGAAACTCAAATTTTTTATTTGTGGAGCAGCTTATAGTATATAATTCCTTGCCCATCCCACGTAGCAAAACCTTCCTGACCGTCACTCTTTTTAGTACGAAATTTAATCTCTCCAACGCCATACAGCGTAATCCGATCGTATACAACACGAGACTGCAACCTTATAAAATGATAGTCCGTAAATAAATTTAAGATTCTTTAAAGTTGTCAATATTAATCTATTTAGGGTAAACGCACAAAAACTTAGTAAATTCCATCAGATTCTTTCCCATTGCAATGGATAAATCAAACACTATTCAAGTCCTCCAGATACTGAATATAAGGTCCTCAGTGCATGTAGCTGACTTTATATCAAAAATAGCCTGCGAGTCATCTCAAAGAAATTAAGAGGGCATTTTTTTTCAGATAATAATATGGCTTGGTGCTAAAATAAATAAAATCGATTTGGTTGGCTACTGCCAGTAGCACTCATACATATACATATGTACGTAATATAACGATTTTCGAGCTTTCGCTCAATATGCAAGATATCTTAACGACATTAAGTGAATGCATGTTTTTAGCTATATTGTAGTTGAGTGCTAAAAATGGGTGAAAGCTGTAAAAGATTTTTCAGTCATCATATAATTGCATGAAAATTCCTTCTTAAGCATGCTTTAGTTTATTGCCAAAAGTAAATGAAGTCAGTTCATACATTCATCTATGGTAGACTCAATACACTCAATATAGTGATTATCAATTTTCCAGTTGACTACCCTGTATATACTATGTAGATTACGTTTTCTTGACCCCAATGTGATTAAGATTTCATAGTGAGTTTAAATTTCGTTTCGGAAAGAAATTTACATAATTTTTATTTCAAATCTATAGTTAATATACTCGTATATGTAATTTGACATAGCGTTGTTAGATGATATATAATTAATTCTATTTATTGGGACCAAAGCGTGTCACACAACAACTATCGTATATTTTTCCACTTTTTATTTAGTTTTGCAGAATCGACAAAACAAAACTCACTTAACAACGGCATCACAGCAGTACAACAAATTTTTTAACAACGGAGTGGCAAGCCCGGCTTTTCTTTAGACTTTGATGTAGACGTATTCTACTATAAACACAAGAAGTTTTGGTTGTAACACCTAACATAAAACTAATCGAGATAGAGTTAGACTTATAAATCAAAACTTTTAGGATGAGGAGACGAATGGAATTTCGTATGTGTTTTCATAGCTGAGAGCTTGGCATATACATATCTCTTGGCACTCTGAGAAGCTTGGTAATGCAGATGGGCATTGCCAACAATAAAATACCGTTGCTCAAAAACTTTAAAACTGCAGTAACTATATCACAAATCATGATAAAAAAAGATATTTGGTATAGAGGGTTACCATAGAGACTGAAAAGTGGGCGTGGCTCATACTTAAGGAAAGCATTTCCTTATATGCCATAATTTCTTAATCAAATGTGAAAATCGTTGCAATGCGTAATAGGCACGCGCCCAAAAAAGGCGACTAGAGTCTAACGGCATTAAACAGCCTATTTAAAGGCATAATGTGGTTTTTTTTACAAAGAAGTTAATATAAGCAATATAATGATGCCTTCGATGTTGACGAATTTCGAAAGTATATTATATAATATTCGGTTACAATCAACTTAGCTCATCGTTACTTTTTATATCACCTACAAGTATTATTGCACTCTAACTTCAGTTTTATTTAAATATATACACACATAGTAGATTTTGGGTGACACCACAATAGTTCTCTTAAATTACTCTTTTAATTAAAATATACCGCTTACACTTCTGATACATTTCAATTTATTTATAAGTACATTATTATGCGAAATGATATCTTTAAAACTTCCACATAGTATTGTTACATACTTATACTTGTATTTATACTCACCAACATATTTATGAACAGAATTTTATAACAGTTTTTAGACTCTACAGATATAATTTAGAGAAATTGTAATTAACGTTGTAACTTCCTTATTAAACCTAATTAATTTTTCAAACTGGTACTATTCTTTTATAAATTCATACCTCCACAGTTTATTTTTATACGCTTGCAACATGTTGCTACAGAGTATAATAGTTTTGTTCACCTAATGGTTCTTTGTATCACCTAAAACTAAACGAAATAGATATGGAGTTATATTATAATATATATTGATATATAAATGATTAGGAAATACGAAACGAGTTGAAGTCCGGGTCACTGTCTGTCTATCCGTTCGTCCGTCTGTGCAAGCGATAACTTGAATAAAAATTAAGATATCTTGATGAAACATGGTACACATGTTCCTTGGCGATGGGCGTAATCGGACCACTACCTAGCCTAGCCCACAAAACGCCATTAATCGAAAACGTATAAAGTGCCATAACTAAGCCGTAAATTAAGATACAGAACTCAAATTTGGCACAACGAATCACATTGAGGAGAGGCACCTGTGCTTTGAAATTTTTTAAAAAGTGGAAGTGGTCCCTCCCCTAAATAACTTTAATGTATATATCTCCCAAAACAATAAAGCTATATCTGTATCACCCAGATGTACACAGGTTTTTCAACCCTTCTTGCGATAATGGGAAAATAAGAGAAATCGGATGATAACATCGAACTATATATAGACTACTAAATGTGTCAAATCAATAACTAAATGCGTCAGAGACATTAAATTTTACATCCAGGATTGCTCAAAAGGTCTTTATAGAACCCGGTATCAAAATTGGAAGGTGGGCCTGCCATCGCCCACTTTTAGGTGAAATCGCATATCTCGGGACCTGCTCGGCCGATTTTAGCAAATTTGAGCCTCTGAAGTGTGCCATCGTATGACCAAACATTGTCGAAATTGATCCAAAACTATTCAAGCCCCTCGGTACTTAATTAATGAACCTCAGTGCCTATTGCGAGCTTTTTATTAAAAATATCAGTCAATCTCTGAGATATATTATAGAAATTTGGAGGGAATTATTTCCTGATAATAGTATGCCTGTATGTCGAAAATGAATTGAATCGGATCAATAATTCCTTTAGTGCCCACATACTTAATAGACAAATTTCGAGTTTCCGGCTGACTTTTTACCGCATATATCGGCCAATATGTGAGTTATTTTATTGAAATTGAATAAGCGGAAAATGGATAAAATTGAGTGAAAACTTGCCGTAGCCCCTATATAACTAATATCAAAATTTTCAAGAATCTAGTCGACTTTATTCCTTATATATGTATTGGTGATGGTATGTGAGGTACCTTAATCAATGTAAGTTAATAAGATACAAAATTGATTATAATCCATTCACGATTTTATCGAATCGTGAATGTTGAATTCTTTCGCACCATTTAACTTAAAGGTTTCGCAACACCTGAAGGTATTTATCCGGCATTGATCCTTGCAAGTTATAAGAGTATAAAATGTTCGGTTACACCCGAACTTAGCCCTTCCCTTATTGTTAAAATATGAAGTATTCATAACCACTTATGTAGGTATACTATTTTAGGATCTGTTGATTTGTCAAAACCTACATTTTATTATTTATGTTAGTATGTTAAACATTTTAAAGCCGAATCTTTATACAGTTGACAACTAAAACTCGGCCTCATCACCAAATTAAACGATGAAATTAATATCCTGATTCTTATATAAGTGAAAGTTTCAACAAACATAATTATATATGTTAAATGACTCAATAAATTATGATATATTAAGAGGATTAAGATGGGAAAATTATGATTCAAATCCCTGCGTTAGTATTTCTTTATAGAGTTATCCATGTATATATCGTATTGATGTGTATCTGACGCGAAATTACCAGGAACGTTACATGCTAAGGGTCTGAAAGGTCCACTTAGCGTATCATTAAATACAGGGTGGCTCACGAATCGTGCTACAAAAACAAACCGTAATCAGTTTTTTTCTGTGTGAGTAATCGGCCCCCTGTTTTTTGATTCGCAGGTTGTTATTTAAATTTTTAAAACTGAAAGCTTGGGATACCGAAAAAAGAATTTGTATAGTGCAGCGGTACCATGCTTGGCAGTCCGTCATTTCTGTCCAAAGGAAATTCAGACGAGCTTTTTGCGGCACTCCACCAAGTAGATGGACCGAGGTTGAAAAGCAAAATGAATAAATATACATTGCACTCCTTCGATTCTGTTAGAATGATAAGTATAGAATGGTATTTGGCTCTGAAAATACATTGCAAAAGATCAGAAAATTAGACAAACTATTCAGAGAATAAATTTCTTAATTTTAAAAAATGAAAACATTTGTTTATATATTAAGGGACAATATACAATATTATTGAGTCTCCAAGCAGTTACATTCTGTTATATTAAGATAGTTTAAAGAGAACAAGTTATTTTGAACATCGTTGTCGTTTATATAAACGAGATAAGATAGAAGTGAAAGCGTTGGCTACAAAGGTCTAAGACCTGCTGCCTTAAATTTCATCACACCAATTCTTCGGTGTGCTAGAGAGAACAGCAAGATTGTGAAACTTTCTGAAAATAATGGCTTAAAACACTCAGCACATTTTTAGAATGAAAACTTAAACTAAAAAAGTACATTAAATTTTCAATACTGCATTCCCAAATATTGAATATTAATATCTCAGTAATAAAAATGTGTTATCAAAAGCAAATTAAATATTTTTAATAATATTAGATACGCAAATAAATATGTTAAGAAAGTTAAACATTTTCAACGGAAGAGTGGTTCAAAGGCATCACAATTCATAAGATTAATAATTGATGAAACATTTATTTATTGAGCGACATCTAAACAATAAAATAGGTCTATTTGGCTCTGAATAGAAATAAATTTCTTGGTTTTTTTGCGTATACGAGGTGTGCTCAAAGGAGAAGGTGAATTTTGAATT